AAAAAAAACTCTGAAAAGTTATACATGGGAGTATGATCATGGGTTATTTCTCTTTGCTTTATTACTGAGAGTTTTTTTTAACAATAGGCAGGTATAATTTTCATAATCAGAATAAAATATGCTTTTCATTTTTAATACACAAATCTAAAGGGATAATACATTACTCTAGCCTTACCTCATGATTTCATTAAAATATTTTGATTAAACTACTCATTATAAAGACTGAGAGTTATACTTATTTTAGCTATCAACAATCTCATTTGTAGTATGCATAATATATTTAAGACAAAGGTAAAATCTATTTGATTCTTTAACATCTAATTATAGAAACAATAGCTTGTTACTGGAATGGCAATGTCTTATTGCAATGTGTTGTGATAGTAAATCATGAATCTCAATGGTGAATATGAAATGATATTCATAGGAGATTTGTGCTACAAATACTCAGAGTAAAATCAGATTTAGGAAAATCTAAGCAGATTATTCATAAAACTCCATCTTGAAAATCTACAACAATTAACATAAAAAAGAAACCTTTCCTCCATCACACTAAAACAAACTTAGCCAAAAAACTTGCCTGGAATATGTATATATTGAGTGAGGAGGTAACATTTTCCTTTCCAAAGGGAAAGCATCCAGGTAAAATCATTTTTCTTTGATTGTAAGTTGACTTCATAGAAAATAACTATTTATTTAAGCTCTCAAAGGGATTCAAAACATTCATGAAGGTGGGCAACTGTCAAGACTTAAGAGAGGCACCAGAATGAGGAATCCTAGCCATGTTTTCTCCTAGGCTCATTCTAGTGATTTGTGATTTACACCAGAGACCTTCAAACCTGCTGCCTCCCACCAGGTCCCCAACATTTGATCCTGTAGGGTGGACCTATGACTCCTTTTCTGGTGAGGTAAAAGACCCACCTTTCCATTGGCCCGTCAGCACCAGGGTCCTGTTAATTACCACATCAATTTCTGTAGCTCCATCTTCAACAGCTAATCTGATCTCTTCTAATCTTGGTTGTAAATGCGTCTGTCCAGCTGGGAAGCCAGTGGCCACTAGAAGAGATTTTTAAAACAATGAAATGGAGAGAAGAAATAAAAAGAAACATCAACTGGTCAGTATTTTAAAACAATTCTGAACAAAAAAATCAGCAAATACAGATGAAAACATTAAGAACGTAATGCATAACCTTCAAAGAAGTTATGGAGAAAAAGAATGGTTGGGTCAAGGTCTTGATGTCAGAAGTAATATTAAGACTATAGACTGGAGGTAGGGGATACTATAAACTCTGGAAGACCAAAATTAAGGTGTTACAGAGATGTTAATGTAAATGTCTTAGGTAAGCAGCAATTGAGAAAGTATGTTATCGTAAAAAAATAGTATTTGAACATTAGACAGAACCCTTTATCAAATTGTTATCAATCTGTTTATTGATTTATTCATTCATAAACCCTTTCAGTTGTTGTAAGCAAATTGGCTCTTCCCACAGACAGGAATGAGGAGAAAGAATGAAGGAAAGGGGGAGTGGGGTAGGAGAATATATTTAGACAACACAGGTTGGCATGGGATACAATGGATTGCTTTCATATGGCCTTTCTTTTTGATGGTCTTATAACATCCACACAATAAATGGGTGGGACTATGATATAAAATATTTGTAGACCACCGGGAGGACTGGAGAGCTTACTAAAATGCATATAAGGTATATGGTAAACTTGTATGGGTAAGGTCATGCATATAAAGTGTATGAAATCCTAACAAAGAGATTGATCATTACATCAAGGTTATTAGGATCCATTCCTGAGGAAAAAGGGAGATCTCACTACCATCAAAAAAGGAAATCCTGAGTGGAATGTGTCCTGTAGACCTGGGGTCCTTGTGCTGAGAACGCCAAAGAGTAGGGGTCCTCAAACGTTTTAAACAGGGGGCCAGCAAGAAAGCTGAGTGCCTCCAGACTGCGGCTACTGGTGGAATGAGTTACCTGTAAGACCGTATTGCTATAACTAAAGAGGTCTAGCAACTACTGGTGTGTCAGTTGGTCGTACTGTCGTGGCTTACGTGTTGCTGTAATACAGGAAGCTAGGCCACTGGTATTTCAGGTACCAGCAGAATCACCCAGGGTGAACTGGTTCCAGTAGAGCCTCCAGACTAGGGACAGACTATCAAAAAGAACAAACTGTCCACTTCAGAGGAAGTAGTCTTTGAAAACCCTATGGAGAGCATCAAAACATTGTCAGATATCGGAGGCCTACTGAACAGAAGCTGAACATGGTCGTTGTCAGTGCCAGAAAAGGAGCTTTCCAGGTCAGAGGCCCTCAAAATATGAGTTGCCTTCTCAAAGTAGAGTCCACAAGAATGACATCAATGGAGTAAAGGCGGTGTGAGTGAAAGCCTTCAGTACCTCCATTTGCTGATGGTGCATGACTCCATCATGACTCAGACCCAGAAGAAACAAATGCAAAAAAAATCTACTAATCATCAGAAGTTGGGATGGACACAATATGAATCTAGGAAAATTGAAGGTCTTCAAAATAGAATTCATACAGGTCAATTGTCCCAGGTATTAGTGAGCTGAAATGGACTGGTATTAGCCGTTTTAAATCGGAAAATCCTATGCTTTACTACACCAGGAATGACACAAAAAGAGAAATGGCATTGCATTCGTTATTAAAAAGGACATTTCAAGATCTAGCTTGAAGTACACCATTGTGTATGATATGATTCTATCTATCTACCTTCAAGCAAATCCCATCAATATACCTAATATTCAAATTTATGCACCAACTAATAAAGCTAGGGATGAATAAATTAAAGAATTCTATCAATGTCTTCAGCCTGAAATTTATCAAACATACAATCGAGGTACATAGATAATTATAATTGTAGTGGTTACCCATTGGGCTGTTAACAGCAAGGTCAGCAGTTCAAAAACCACCAGTTGCTCCAAGGGCAAGTTATGAGGCTTTCTACTCCCATAAAGGTTATCGCCTCAGCAAAGGGCATTTAGAGGTCTAGATATAGACATGTACATATGTAAATATATTATATGATGATAGGGAAATAGATCTATGTGCATATATTTACAGGATTAGTACTAAGGTAGCAGATGGACACTGGACCTCTACTCAAGTACTCCCTCAATGCAAAAACACTTTGTTCTATTAAACTGGCATTCCACGATGCTCACCTTCCTGACATAATCACTGAAGACAAAGCAGGTGCATAAGCAAATGTGGTGAAGAAAGTTGATGGTGCCTGGCTATCAAAAGATATAGCATGTAGGGTCTTAAAGGCTTGAAGATAAACATCTAGCTGAGAAGCAACAAAGTCCACATGGAAGAAGCACACAGCCTGTGTGACCATGAGATGTCCATGGGATCAGGTATCAAACAACAAAAATCAAATCATTGTGAATGAGGGCAAGTGCGGAGTGGGGACCCAAAGTCCATGTGTAGGCAACTGGGCAGCCCCTTACAGAAGGGTCGTGGGGAGGAGATAATCCAGTCAGGGTACAGTGTAGCAACGATGAAACATACAATTTTCCTCTAGTTCTTTAATGCTTCTTCTCCCCGCCCCCCAATATCATGATCCCAATTCTACCTTACAAGTCTGGCTAGACTAGAGGATGTACACTGGTACAGATAGGAACTGGAAACACAACGAATCCAGGACAGATGACCTCCTCAGGACCAGTGGTGAGAGTGGCGAGATTGGGAGGGTGGAGGGAAAGTGTCGTAAAAGGGGTAACTGATCACAAGGGTCTACATATAACCCGCTCCCTGGGGTACGGACAACAGAAAAGTGGGTGAAGGGAGACGTCAGACAGTATAAGACATGACAACATAATAATAATTTATAAATTATCAAGGGGTCATGAGGGAAGAGATAGCGGGGAGCAGGGGGGGAAAATGAGGAGCTGATACCAAGGGCTCAAGTAGAAAGCAAATGTTTTGAGAATGATGATGGCAACAAATGTACAAATGTGCTTGACACAATAGATGTATCTAGGGATTGTAATGAGTTGTATGAGCCCCCAATAAATTGATTTTTTTTTTAAAAAAAAAAAGAGTTACAGCCTCAGAAATCCACATCTACCCCATTCCAAAGGGATGCCATTAGTCAGAATCAACTCTATCTTGGTGAGTTTGATTTTGAGTTTATCATTAAAATACATCCAAGTAAAATTGTGCTGATTATCATCAAACAATGGTTGCAACAGTACACTGAAAAGGAGTTGCCAGAGGTTAAGGTCAGATTCAGAAGAAAATGTAGAACAAGGGATATATTGCTGATGTCAGATGGATCTTGGCTCAAAGCAGAGAATAAAGATGTCAACTTGTGCTTTGTTGACCATGCAAAGGCATTTTACTGTGGGGAATCATAACAAACGATGGATAGCCTTGAGAAGAATGGAAATTCTATAAGACTTCATTGTGCTCATATGGAATTTGTCCATGGATCAGGAGGGAGTTTTACAAACAAAACAAGAGACGACTACACGGTTTAAAATCAGAAAAGGTGTGCATCAGGGTTGTATCCTGTCATCATACTTATTCATTCTGTAAGCTGGGCAAAAAATTAGAGAAGCTGGATTATATAAATAAAAATGAATCATCAGTACTGGAGGAAAGCTTATTAACAGCCTGCAATAGGCAGATGACACAACCCTGCTTACTGAAAGTAAGGAGAAATCAAAACACTTGCTCAGGAAGAGCGAGGATTGTAGTCTTCTGCATCGATTACAACACACTGTAAAGAAGACCAAAACACTCACAACTGGACCAATAGATGGCATCATAATAAACAGAGAAAGAGTGGAAGTTGTCAAGGATTTTGTCTTGCTTGGATCAACAAGGAATGCTCATGGAAGCAGCAATCAAGAGATCTGCTTGCATAAGACCTGTTTAAAGTGTTGAAAAGCAAGGATGTTATTTTAAAGACAAAGATCTCCCTGGATCCAAGCCGTGGTATTTCCAATTGCCTCATATGATATGGAAGATCAGGGAAGAATTGATGCATCTGAATTATGGTACTGGCAAAGAATATTGAAAGTACCACAGACTGCCAAAACAACAAACAAATCTGTCTTCTTTCAAGAAGAACAGAGAGTGCTCCTTGGAGGCCAGGGTGCTAAGACTTTGTATCACATATTTTGTACATATTGTTAGGAGAGACCAGTCCCTGGAGAAAGACGTCATGCTTGGTAAAGTAGAGGAAGAGCCTCAACAAGATGGATTGACACAGTGGCTGCAACAATGGGCTCAAACAATTGTTCCTTGTATACATGGTACAACCAGTCAAAACCAACTCAATGGCACCTAATAACAACAAAAAGCTCTATGTGTTGGGCAAGGCACAGGCCAAGGAGCCAAGGCCCAAGAGAGGCCTGCCTGTAGGCACTGCCTCGAAGTAGTCTTCCTGATCAAATTACTATATTCTGAGTAATTCCTGGCCCCAAATTGTAACCTCTTAAAAACCATGATCATGCGTTGGGCCTTTCCAAAGAATTGTCACACTCAGCAGAGAAGTAGATCGGTGTGTGGGAGAGCGGGCAGCTTGACTGGAACTGTTAGCAAGAGCAAGTATGGCAAACCACAACCTCACAGGAATCAGTCTTAGGCTGCTATTGATCGTGTTTCTCACCCATGGTGAGGATGCTGTTTGGTGCCACCGAGCGGGTTCCGTTTCATAGCAACCCCATGTTCAACAGAGGTGAAATGCTACTGTACCTTTTTGACAGTCCACAAAACTTGGGTGGTGGGGAGGGAAAAGGCAGATACACCTTAACGTAAAATTAAATTACAGTATAATGCTCAAATCTATGCATAAAGATTGACATGCGCAACTTTAATTCTATTCCTATATCTATAGTTAACCTCTTGTGTGTCCATGACATTATTAACTTCCTTGGATCTGTGACCTTAGAGGAAAGTGCATTTCCCAGTTGTATAAAGAAAAGGCTGAGTTGACAGAGGCTGAGGAAAAATTCAGGTCTACAAGGTACTTTGGGAATCCTCACAAACGGATCATATATATAAATATTGCATACTGTGTTTTTTTTTAATGTAGTCCTGATAAAAATAAATTAATGGTCTTTATAGACTGCTTTTTGAAAGCAGCAGGATCCTGTTAGAAGTAGAATCGAATGCGTACACACCAATCCACACACTCACAGGCACACATTTCCCAAACTAGATTTTAAGATGGTCCTCTCTCTTGTACCAAGCCCTTTGGAGCCTATCTTACAGAATGAACGCTTAGAGGGCCCCTCTCTCATGTTCTAGGCCATGGTTTGGCTCTCACCATCACTCTCAATAAATGGGATGAGTCTCCCACATTCCATTTCCACTCTTTTCTAGTATGTTCACTATTATCATTGGCCTTTCTTTACCATGAAGCTGGGATGCCAGACTTCTGCTGAAAGCCTTTTTGGTGTCCTGCCCAAGCCCAGTATAAAGCTCAAGTCTCATACATTGGCATGCCATTCCATACATGGCCTGACCCCAGGCTATTTCTCCATCTGCCAAGCCTCATAACTTTATTTTTATCTACTTTAGTATCCAATACTTGAAAAACACTTTCAGTTCTTGAACACATTTCTATGCCTTCATGCATGTGATTTCCTCTATCTAAAATGCCATTTCCCATGATAGTAATACTACAAACTCCTCCCTGTTCTTTAAGACCCAGGGTAAGGATTACCGCCTCTGAGTGTCAGCAACCTCTGTAGAATGCACTATTCCTTACTGAGACTTAAAATTGTACTCTGCACATCGGGATTATTATGTCTCATCCTACATTAGGATCTTTTAAAATCTGACCATCCCTCCTAAACAAATGCGTTTCCATAAAGCAAGGGATACAGTTCTGTATTCTTGAGACTTAACAGAATGTCTGCCACTTACTAGTCCATTAAGGAACCCTGATGGTGCTGTGATGTAGGCACTGGGTTACTAACCACAAAGTCAGTGTGCCAAACCCACCAGCCATTCTATGGAAGGACAACGAAGCCATCTCTTCCTATAAAGATTTACAATCTCGGAAACCCTAAAGAACTACTCTGTCCTTACAGGTCACTATCAGTCAGAATCAACTCAACAGCAGGGAGTTTGTACTGGGAAATTATTAAGTACTAAACAAATGAATACATACAACTAATTAGATGTAGAAAGCCAATTAAAAATTGGAGTCCAACAATAACCAAACCCACTGCTATCTAGTTGATTCTAGCTCATAGCTACTGTATAGTACACAACTACATATAATAGCCTCATGTGTCTGAGTTAAAGCTCTAGGGCCTTGCTGAAAAACAGCAGCAAAAGCCACAACAATAAAAAAAGGCCACAACCAATTTTACCTGAGGCCACTGGGATGTTACAGCCTGCAGCCTTGAGCGCTTTGACAGCATCACAAACTCGGGCAGGATAAACACAAACGGCAGCCGTAGTAATGCCTATGAAGGAGGGGAAAAATCATTACGGTCTATTTTACATGAAGCTCAACTGCCATAATATGCATTTAATTATTATTTATAGTACAGCACTTGCAGAAATTAAAATGGGAGGAAAAAATTCATTCCCCGACAATGCCGTAACAGATTAAAGTTTCTACTTGCCATATTTTCTTCCAGATTTTGACAACATGAATCATTTTTCTTATCATTATAGTTATAGGATAAATAAAACAATCTGATATGCTGTTCTTTGTGATAAATAAAATACCATTATTTTTTAAATCCTAAGTAATAAACAGGACGGCCATGGCTCGCTAGAAGGATCTTATTTTGCATAGGTTCATACCGCACTCAAACAGGATAGTGAACTGAAGAAAACCTCTGAGAGAACTGCATGATCTTGAATAAGCAAGACCACACAGCAGCCACAAAAGGACACTTAACTAATTCCATTTCTCTTTGGGGGAGACAGATAAGGCTGTCTGCTTCTATAATGAGGTACAGCCTTGGAAAATTCTACATTTGGGTTTGGGGAGTGCTTCTTTGTAGAAGCTCTGGTAGTATACATTGTAAGTTCTTGGTGAACAAGCCACAGGCTGGTGGCCTGAACCTACCCCACAGCTCCATGGGAGAGCACCTGAAGAGGTGCTTCCAGAAAGAATACAGCCAAAAAACCTTAGTGGACCATTCTACAGGGACTCAGGGACACCCAACAGACTCCTACAAAACACATTCCTGCAAAACCCCCATCTGGGGAGAAAAGCACTCATTCTGAGGACTACGTTTTGGAATTAAGTAAATAAAATAGAACCAGCCGCCATCCCACAAAGTATTATCACGAGACTCATACAAAGCCGTTACTTCGAAGTGTTATACATAAGGTACTGGCACTACAGACAGCTCAAAAGGAACATGATAAACAAAATTTTTTTAAGCGTAGTAGTATTCTGAACTATAAACTATCACCAAATTATTCACCAAACTACCTGCACTGGGGTAATTCAACATCTGAAGGTGCACTCATTACAGGCCAACACTCAGAGACTTTGTCCATGGAAATGGGATCTAGCTCCTAACACCAGCCTAGTCATCATCTTGGAGACAGCACTCTGCCTCCCATTTCTGTTTCTTTCTGTTTCTTTCTGTTTCTTTCTGTTTCTGTTTCTTTCGTCAGAATACGTGGGGATTGACTCTCAGCAGTCTCCCCATTTCTTCAATGTTAAAATTCTAAACTCACGGGACCTTTAGAAAGTCATTCTCTCATGTATGCTAAGAGAGTGAACATGGTTTCTTTCAAAAGATCTAACCTAATCTGCAAGCATTCAATATATTCCATTTGCATTTTATTCTCAGAAGCATTTCATTTACTCACAGAAATGTATGAGATATGATTATTAAGTAATGAGACTGGCTTTTTCACATGTGGCTAGGGAATCAGAATCAGTATTTTCAGTCACTAGATAGAAAATTTACAAAACTGAAGACTTAGAAAGAAAGAAATAAAAAGAAACTTTCGACCAGCAACTTTAATTTATGATGGAATGAACTAACCTAAAGCCAGGAATCAGTCTCTCCCAGTGCTGTTTCAAAGGAGACTCTGAATGGCTTCTCTGTGTAAAATGGCATGTTTCTCTTATGAATTTTATTAATATCAGTCGAGCAGCTAAACCTTGTCTTGAATTCACTTAAAATAGTGACTAGCACTGTAACCAGGTAAATAATGAACAGGTTGTACACAACATTACCTTTATCATGCATATCTAAAGCTTTTAAGAGATCTTCCCGGATTGGATACTTGGCTTTATAACAAAGCCTTTGAACATTGGAAAATGTGTCATCGCCAGAAAGTGTAGTAAGATCTATAAAGGTAACCGCTTTCAGGAGCCAAGCAACCTGGTTTGTAAAAAATAAATAAATATGAAGTGAAAAATTAATTTCCAATTAGGTTAGTTAGATAATTACTAGAACAAAATAAGGCTGCTAAATTCTGATGTTTATTGTTTCAAGGCATATTATTGTATATGACATAACATTTATATATAAATATAGCATATTGCTTCAGAGTGATTAATAAGATAAACATTATCCAAGATTTTAAAAGGAGGGAGGTGGGATAATTCAACTCTATTCCGAAATAAATCTTTCCTTTCCAAAGACATGCAGAATTAAAACCCTCAGATCAGGGTTCTCCATCCCATCCACAAGGCGCTCACCAAATGTGAGAAAACTTGAGAGCAAGAAGGCTTCTAGCCTACATTGTACCTTGAGACCTGAGACCTGGGATAATATAATAAAAAATAAAAGACTCCAATTTCCTCTTTTTTTTAATTAAATTAAATTTAATTGAATTAAGACTAAATTAAATTTAGTCCCATTCCTCTTATAAAACAATCTTCACAGCTCACAACTCATACTGAGAATTTTCCTTCTGTTTTTTTCAATCAGAACATTTTTCCAAGAATGAGCAAAATGTGAAGTATCACCCGAGAGGATTCAGTAGCAAAATTCTGCCTCCCCTGTGAAGTACCTCTGCGTTTCCTTTAGTCCTGTGACTCACAGCACATCCTTGCTGCCCACTGAAGAATGTGCTGACCACAGCTCTTAAGAACATCATTCTTTGAAAAATGACTTATGAAAACGAACAGTAAACATGAAGGTCAAAGAAAGTCAACCACTATACCTAAGGGTCTCAACAGTGAGCACACCAGGTTTAGATGTTATGGTTTTAAAATTAAAATAAGAGAAGGCAAAGAAGACATGTCTAAGAAACTGAATAAATGTGTGGAGAAAATATGTCATTTACTTCACTCATGAATAAAGATGTTTTGAACTCATTTGCGGTTTTGCCACTCAAGAGTGATAAGATTTTTAACTTGTTTGGATAAATGTGTTATCTTTCTCCAACCCATCATCATCATATATGAATTATTAAAATAAGTCATGGACAGCTGCAATCTTTTAAGTTTAGATGCATCTTGAGCAAAATTCAATATTGTGGCCTTGAGGGAAGAGACCATGCATTGTAAAATACAAGAACAGAAGGCTCAAGACGAATGCTTACCTCCCACTCCTTTTTTACAGTTCTGCGAGCCTGGATTTGTCCCGCCCGCCTCAGAACTGCTGGTTGATTCACTTGTACTTTGGCAATCCAGCTTAGGTCTAAAGGGGAAAGAACAACAAAACTTTAAAATTTTAGTGACTATATTCCCCCTATTTTTACAGTCTTTGAAAGGATACATTTATCATCTGACATCAAAGCTCTTTTAAAAGCTTATGTTTCGCTTTCACACAACTAGAAATAAGTAATCTTGTTGAAGGAAGCCCAGTCACAGAAAGGCATGCTGCCTTTAAAATCAAGAGTATTTGGAACTGGAAGAAGCGAATTGATTCATTGCACCGGCAGGTCTAAAACTGGAGTGGGGAATGTGGCTCTACCCAGGCTATGTGCCCCACTGCCGACAGCAAAGACTTATGTGTGAGTGTTCAGTCCAAAAGAGCAAACGATTAATAAGGACTCCAGTGCTTGAGCTAAAAGGAATCTCTGATTACTAAGCCCTTCCTGACAAGATAAATATCGACTAGATGTTGACAGAGCACAGCCCATTCTTTCCTCAAAGAGGAATTTTTCACAATGTGCTGGAAATAACAACACTGCCATCATGGAAGTGAGAAGAAGGAAGCAAAGCAGCTGGGCATTCAAATGTCCAGGCTACTCCTCTGTCTCTTGTGGTCTGACAGGCCCTCTCCCATCTCATTCCCACCCTCCATTCTCTTCCAGTTGACTGGAATTTCTACAAGAGGCTCCCTAAAGATGAGCCCTGAGAAACACTGCCAGCTCCCGGCAGAGCTGGCATTGGCACCCAGCTTTACGAAGAGAACAGATTTAAGGCCTGGAGGTGCCGTCAGGGAGCGCTGGACTGCTCCCCGCATAGTCGGCACTTCAAGTCCACAGGAGAGAGTGGACGCTATCTGCTCCCCAAAAGATGTATAGCACTGACAACCCTGTCTGGGGTCAAAATGAGCCAGAATCTATTCCAAAGCAGTGGTTGTAAAGGAGATAGTGCATTATATTTAATTCAACAAGGATGCATGGTAAAATTGTTTCCTGCAGCTATCATACTGTGAGCGTTATTCCTCTTTCTTTAAGTGCCGAACGCTGACTACATACACTGTCTGCTGTCTGTGTATTTAAACTTCATCCAGCAAAACTAAGACAGCTGTGGCCTCACTGAAAACTCAGCACCCATCCACTTCCCTTCTATAACCAACGTGATACGTCCTACCAGCAACTCCATGTGCTGGAGGAATCATTTGAGAAGGGCCTCATTAGGAAGCATGTCCTGATAATACAACTTTAAAAAAAAAATCATTTTATTGGGGGCTCTTATGACAATCCATACATACATCCATTGTACCAAACACATTTGTACATACGTTGCCACCATTTTCAAAACATTTTCTTTCTACTTGAGCCCTTAGTATCAGCTCATTTTCCCCCTCCCGATAATACAACGGTTTAAAATGTGCTGAATCTCCTTAGAAATATCAATATAGCGTAGAAACCCCATGTTTAAAAGTCTGTGTGGTTAACAATATATTTTATCTAAATAGCACTACAAAGGAAACCGAGTTTGGATGTTTTTTATTTTTCGAATTAAATTATCCTGTCAGCTGAAGTAATTTAACAAAACAGACTTTCAACACGAATCCATCTGCTCTTCAAAGACGTTATATGTTTTCCTGTTTGCTTCCTGAGCCCAGGAAATTAAGGAGCGGAAAGTCAGGCAAATGAAGTCGGCCTCCCCTTCCTCAGAATGGTTTAGTTCCACTAAGGTGACCAGACGTCCCGCTTCTGGCGGGACAGTCCCGATTTTTAACAATTTTTCCTGCGTCCCGCAGTGTTAAAAAGTCCCGATTTTTGGAAAGAATGCACAAGCTAGGGAACAGCGGGAGAACGGGAAGAGAATGTACGGTTTTCGGCTGCCACGTGACTATTTTGCCAGGATATGAGTTTTATATTATTTTTGTTAATTTTATAATGTTAAACTTTAATCATAACAAATAATTGTTGAGAACTGATTATCGAGAACTGCTTATCAAAGTTCGCATTGTTGATCAATTGTTAGAATTCGACCACCATTGTTTGGACTTAATGAACAATGGCATTTTTTGGCATTGGCAACGACGAAAACATTTTGTAATTGTCTCTCAGACTATACACATCATACTGCGTGCTAGTGCTCGTTAAACAAGTGATGGCAACAAATCAGCTATTCAGATAATTTAGGTGAGTAATTTATTTATATATTTCATAAATACATAAATTTTCTTGAATTTAGCAGACAGTACTGGAATGATGTGCAAAAATCATCTGATCATATTACTCAAAATTTCCCATATAGTAATATTTCCTAAAATGATCTTTTTAATGAGGTATCACTATTAAAAATATATATTGATAAGGAAAAGGTTAAATCTTGGGCATCAGCAAAAATCACAATAGAGAACAAATGGTTAGAAATATTTCATCAATTTGAAGCAAACCATGCTCCATACAATAATGCACTAAAAATTGTGGAATACATGCTGTCCTTACCAGGAACTAATGCTGCGACTGAACACGTTTTTCAACGGTAAATAAAGTGTGGACATCAGAAAATTCACAATTAAGTGTTGAGACTTTGAAAGCCATTTTATGTGTGAAATATAATTTAACAAATTCTTGTGAAAATTTTCATGACCTTTTGAGCAACAGCAATCTACTAAAAAAATTCACTCAAATGAGAAATATGCCAAAGAATAAAATAATACTATACATAATTTTTAATGTATAATTGTACTTATGTTGACAATTTTTTTTAATTGTACTTCTTTTTTTTTTAACATTTTATTAGGGGCTCATACAACTGTCATCCCAATCCATACACACATCAATTGTGTACATCGTTTCTCAAAACATTTTCTCTCCACTCAAACCCCCGACATTATGTCCTCATTTTTTCCCCTCCCTCCCCGCTCCCTCCTCCCTCATGAGCCCTTGATAGTTTATAAATGGGTATTTTGTCATATCTTGCCCTGTCTGACGTCTTTCTTCACCCACTTTTCGGTTGTCTGTCCCCCAGGGAGGAGGTCACACACAGTTCCATGTAATCGGTTCCCTCTTTCCTACCCATTCTCCCTTTACCCTCCCTGTTTTGCCACTCACACCACTGGTCCTATAGGGCTCATCCTCCATGGATTCCCTGTATTTTCGGTTCCTATCTGTACCAGTGTACCTCCTCTGGTCTAGCCAGACTTGCAAGATCGAATTCGAGTCATGGTAGTGGGACCGGGGAGGAAACATTTAGGAACTAGAGGAAAGTTGTACTTCTCATCATTGCTACATCACACCCTGACTGGCTCATCTCCTCCCCGAGACCCCTCTGCAAGGGGTTAATTGTACTTATGTTGAAATTTTTTTTTAAGTTACAATACTATTTTTGCGGTCTATGAAAATTTTTGTTGCTCCACATAGACCAAATTTTTAATCAAGAAACACCTCCACCCCACCCCCGGTCAATGGTGTCCCGCTTTACCAATGTTAAAATCTGGTCATCTTATTCTAGACGGACCCCCAAGGGAAGAAGACCAAACACACACACTAGGCCGATCCCAGTTAATCCATGGATTTCAGGAACCTCCGGCTTCCAATGCAGGAGGGACTCTTTTCTCTCTTGTTGTTAGTACTGGTGTTTAAGTTCGTGATAAGCATGATTTCAGGCAGAGAATGAAAATGAGTGAAGAAGTTGTGTGAAAGATAAGGCTCTACAAGCCCCCAATAAAATAATTTTTAAATAAATAAATAAATGAAAAGACATTATTAGATAGGAAGCCAATTTTCAGTGTAAACTTTCATCTTAAACTCAATTAAAAGAAAATTAGCAGGAAAAAAAGATAAGGCTTTCACCACGCAGGTGATGAGCGGTCAGAAGGGGAAGCCAATGACTCCCGGAGGCTGACCTTATCGAACACCTCCTCCAACCTTATGCCTTCTTTCTCTATACCACCTACCACCACCTCCATCACTGGGATCAAGTACTGCTGCGGGAGTTGTTCTAGGTTGCTCTACCATCTGGTTCCTTCCTCTCATGCCTCATCTTCTGCCTCTCTCTCCTCAAACCCTGTGGTACAGCCTTTCGAAGCTACTGGAAGTTCCCTGACACGTGGCACATTCCATCTCTAGATCTTCTGCCTAAAACACACCTCTGTGCCTTGCCTGTCTAGTGAACTCATCTTTCAAGACTCAATTTCAAAGTCACCTCCTTCCCTGAAGCTCATTGGTGGAGCTACCGTGTTTCTCTGAAAGTAATACATCCCCCCCAAAATAAGACCTACTTACAGTTTTGCCTCTAGCTGAAATATACAGCATCTCCCCGAAAATAAGACCTCCCCCAAAATAAGGCCCCCCGAAGCTACCATAACTCTGGACTCTGGACCGTTGTGGTGGCCGCCACGCAGCTCACTTTTGGCTGCAGCACTGCCGGAGCAGACAGGAAGTGCGAGGTCTCTTTTAATAAAACAATAAATGTGTACCGTATTCTTCTTCATGGAAAAATAAGACATCCCCTGAAAATAAGACTTAGCGCATCTTTGGGAGCAAAAATTAATATAAGACACTGTCTTATTTTTGGGGAAACAGGGTATTGTTACTCTTTTGCATTGTTGTTCCTATGAGACTTTGCAGTCTGTCTTAATACAGTGCTCAGCTCATTCAATGGAAGTGATTTCTCTAAATGTTTATATCCTCATCAGAAATTTTTAAAATCCCAGCAAACTGGTGGACTTATCACTGGCATACAATAAATAAGCTGAATTGCTCCCAAAAACTAGAAATGACCTAATTCTGGGCACCATATCCTCCAATTGCTTCTGATTAGGAGGAATTTTCAGCTCTCCACAAGAGAAGCTAGAACGGAAGAACGAATGGGAAGCCTATGAGTAGGAAACTGAGAACCGGGAAGAGGGTGTATGCAGACAAATTCTCTAAGCTCCTATTTTAAGGATTCTGGGGGTCGAGACTCGCATAGAGGGTGGCCCTCACGTTTGTGGTTTGGAGATGCATCCCAGTCACATTCTCCTAACTAAAGTTGTTCCCCACATTGTCTTCCCCCCACCCCATA